TGGGAATCTGCCCTCACCCATTGCGCTTGCCCTTCTTTTACGCATCCCGTCATTGCCCTTGCCCTTCTTTTACGCATCCCGTCAGAGAGTGCCCAATTACCCAAAAAATTATTCAGATGAATGCAAGCTTCAATTACCAAAAAAAAAAAACAATGTTATTCTTGATTAATCAAATCTATTATTGGTTGAGGTCCGTAGTCGCTCGAACTATTCCCATGTGTAACATCTAGCAATAGTTCACCCATCTCTCTCTAGCAATAGTCCGTAATCGCTCGTACTATTTCAACTTGCAACATCTAGCAGTAGTCCACACCAATCACTATTTCTTCTATAGAACAAGAAGGAACCATTGCTCCAATTGAAACGATAATTGAAGCAAATCAGTGATCGAAGCAATCCCAATCTTCCTTAAGAAATTGCCCGCAAAACTGCCCTCTCTCTCTCACACACTCCAGAGAGAGTTCTTGTGACTAATGCTCTCCTCACTTTCTCTTCTCTAAGAAACAACAAATCTCTTTCTCAAAACAAAACTAGCTATAACTTCACTAAGAAACTGCCAATTAGCTATACTGCCATATGCAAAACTAGCGATGCTCTCACTGTCTCTCTCACTCCATAGAGATTTCTTTGGCTCTGTTGCGTCCACTACTCCCCTCACTTCTTTTGGCCCCCTACGGCTTTTTAGGGGTATGTGGATTCCTTCCATTTGATAGATGGTTAAGTTCCTGCTGCTTCCTTCCATTATTGCTAGAGAAAGAAGGTATTGATAGAGGATTAGGGTTACTGCGGGAAAAAAATGAAAGGGTAAGAGAGAGAGATAGTCAAAGAGAATGGAGTGTGAGATAGGTGTACTCCTTGGTGGCATATAGAAAGGGCTATAGGCAGAGAACCGGTTCCCAAGTTGAGATCTAATTTTGCGACAATGGAACGGTATTATCCCAGCCATCCTTTTAGATCCCATAGAGAATTACTAAGCACATATTTTGTCTATGTGGGTAGGGTCACATAGAAGGTCGCCCCATGAATAACATATCATTTCACTTTTTTTCCCTCTACCCCTTGTATGAAGTGTGCCCTCTCTCTCTACTTCACCCAATGGGGTTGCTTACTATTAAGGAAAAAATTTATATAAGGATGCTACCTTCTTCTTTTTTTTGATAGAAAATCTATAAAATGTTTTCAGCTAGAACGAAATTACAGAATCAGAAACAACAATTTCATAAAGGGAAGAACCTCCTTTAGCAAGAGAGTCAGTCAATACATTGGCCTCCCTATAAACATGAACAAAGAATAAGGAAAAGGAAGAGGAGAGGTCCCAAATTTGAAGCAGCAGCGATTTGAACTCCTAAGGCAGCTTCTGTTCCCATTTACATCACTTAATGATATTGAGAAAATCCCCTTTAAGGATGCAGGAACACCCCAAATTCCTTTCCACAAGGGTGCACAGGGCTTAGAAAAGAGCAAACAATTCTGTAAAATTAGCTGTACATACCCCAAGTGGACCTGTATATATAAAAACAATATTCCCCATTCAATCCCTAAGCATACCTCCAAAACCAGCTGGACCTGAGTTCCCTATCGAACTGCCGTCAAAATTAAGCTTATAGACCCCACGGGGTGGAGCCATCCATCTTCCTTTAGGTTCGCATTTTAGGAAACCCATATGGAGCAGATTATTTAAATTTCTTCTAACATCCACTTCTGAAATGTCCTGATCAACGTTGGTAACTGAAAGATATAGATTGAATGCAATACCCTCTCCAAGATTTTCTCAAAAGGCATACATTGCCCATAAAAAACTCTCATGTTTCTCTCTTTCCAGGTATTCTATAGAATGACGCATCTAGTAATTTTCCAAATAACAAACCCAGTCTGTGGTAAATCAACCGTCAAATTTTGTAAAATCCCAACAACTGAAGGTGGCATTACAAATGTAATCCCAAGCTCGACAAATAACCAACTCCAAATGCGAAGAGCAAAAGGATAATGAAGAAAGAGATGGTCACCAGATTCTCCATCCCCCTTACACATGAGACAAATATTAAGCAAAATTTTCCTTCTCTTGATAAGATTATCTATCGTTAACACCTTATTTTGAACCGCCAGCCATAAGAAACCTTGCACTTTGAGAGGTAGAGGTCATTTCCAGATAATGGCTATTTCAAGCATAGATCATCTCCATCGATCATGGAAAAGCAGAATATACATAGACTTCACCGAGTAAACTCCATTTTTATCAATCTCCCATACCACCAACATTATGAGGGATATGGACCTCCTCCAATAACCTTAGTAGACCAGAGAGTTGAAAGAAAAGAGAGTCAGGGATTATGTTATAAAGAAGATTGATATTCCACACAATTTGGCTACCCCTCCGAACAAACATTCTGAGACAGTAGCATCGGTGTTGGCCATCCTCTAGAAAACCATAGGAAAAAGTAGTTTCAGTGGAAAATCCCCCACTAATTTGTGGTGCCAAAATGAAATATTACTGCCACTGCCCAACGACTAGCGAATAACTCTATGAATAAAACCTTTGCAAGAATGAATTGACCTCCAACATACAGACGTACCCCTAACTCCACTTCTGACCCCCACCCATATACAAAAACTTTTTGTTCCATACTTCGAGGCACTGACTTTGTACCAAAGATGATTTTTAAGATTTAGACTCCTCCACCACCACTTACAGAGCAAGACTTGGTTAATAGTTTTGATTTTCCTAATTCCGAGCCCCCCTTCCTTTTTGGGCGTGCACACTCTATCCCATCTAAGAAGAAAGAATTTACTTGTCTCCACCAAGGACCCCCAAAGAAAGTTCCTCATCATCATTTCAATTTTTCTGGCCACTGAGGAAGGGATCTGTAAAATTGATATTTGATAAACAAGTAAGTTTGATAGGCAAGCCTTAGTTAGCGTAATCCTACCCCCAAAGGATATATATTTAAACTTTCACAGATCAAGTTTAACTTGGATACGCTGAAGAATTTTATCCCAAACCATAATTGGTAGTCAGCCATCTGATAACGGCATCCCCAAGTAGGTGATGGAAATTTTTCTACTTTACACCCCAATAGCTGTGCAATTGACCGCACGTCCTCATCACTGCAATATAAGCCAACAACACCTGTTTTCCCAAAATTTACCTTTAAGCCTGAGGCAACTTCGTAACATTTCAGCAACATAGCAATATTGGTAACCTGAGAAATCAGAGCTTCACAAAACAACAAAGTATCATTAGCATTAGCATATTGTAAATGCGAAATACAAAGTCCCCCATTAGGCATTTGAAAACCCGAGAAGTGCCCATTTCTCGCCACATTTGGCAGCATCAAGCTAAAGCACTCTGCACAAATAGTGAAAAGGAAAGGAGAAAGGGGGTCCCCTTGACGAAGACCCCGTGTAGCCTTAAAAAACCCAATTGAACTTCCTTTGTACAAAATGGAAAAGTGGGCTGAAGATAAGCAACCGAATATCTAACGTCTCCATTTATTACTGAAACCCATATTTTTCATAATTTCTAACAAAATTTTCCATTCCACTATACCATAAGCCTTTTCCATGTCAAGTTTACTAACCACTCCAGGACTCCCATTAAGGATATGAGAATAAATACACTCTTGTGCAATCATAACACTATCAGAAATCAACCTATTCTTAATGAAAGCAGATTGGGGACAAAAAATAATAAAAAGTAATACCTCCTTTAGTCGCTCAACCAGGGCCGCAATTTTGTAGATACTCGTAAGCAGGTTAATCGGTTTAATGTCCCCTAAGGAAGCTATCACAGATATTTTAATAATCAAGGCAATGAGTGTAGAGTTCACTCCTTTAAAAGGATATCCTCTCCTTAAGAAGCCCCTGGTCATCTCCAATAGCTCACAACTAATCAAGTTCCAGAACTTATGGAAAAAGATTAATGGGAAGCCATCTGGACTAGGTGCCTTATCACCCGGGAGAGCAAAGACAACCTTTTTCAATTCATCCATAGAGACATCCCTATCCAAGATAGGAATGAGATTAGTTGGAAGAACTTTAAAACCCACTCGACTGAGTTTTGGAGTGAATTTAACTTTAGAAGTAAAAGCACATTGGAAGTGATTGATAATAGCTTGGGCTATACCATCACTATCATCAGCATCAAGTCCCTGGATAACAAGACCCGAAACATCATTTTGGCCTCTCCTCGTATTAGCAATTGCATAAAAAAAATTTGTATTCAAATCTCCCTCCTTCAACTACTTCACCCTCGACTTCTGTTTTCAATAGACCTCTTCCACTTGTCTTAGCTCCTGTGAATCATTCAATTTGGCACTTCTCACGCCAGCCATCTCTTCAGACAACGCCCCAAACTGCTACATAACTTAGTTTGCCTCCTCAATAGTTTGCAGCTCTTCTTCAACTTTCTTTTTAACAAAATATCACTTTTCTATTTTCCAATCCATAAGTTTATGTTTAATATTCAAAAGCTTCTTATGGATTTAGAAGTCAAGAGTCCCACCAAAAATAGAATTCTCCCAAGTACTTTTGATAAGGTCAAGAACTTCCTTATCCTGTAACCACTCAATTTCAAATCTAAAAAGCTTTGGGCCTCCCAACCAAAGCCTAGAGGTTAACAAAATAGGAGTATGATTAGATAAAAGTCTAGGGAGGGCTTTAACAGAAGCTAAAGGAAAAGTTTCAGATCGCTCAACAGATACCAGACACCTATCAATCTTAGACATTGAGAGATAGGAAATACTCTCATTAGTCCAAGTAAAATTCACACCTACAATGGGTAAATCTATGAGAGCATGGGATTCTATGAATCTATTAAAGAGACACATGCCAATGTAATCACCCCCTAGAAGAACACTCTTTCGCCCATCTAATGAAATTAAAATCCCCCCCAATACCGATGGGAAAATCAAACTGAGAAATATCTTCAGTCATATCTAAGATAAAACTTTCTTTTTGAGCAGCAGTATGAGAACCATACACATTCATAAAACCCCATTGAAAATCAGCTTCAGGACCCACAAAACCCACAAGTATAAAATAGTCTTTTTTAACAACACAAAAAGAAAGCAGAATAGAAGGGTACTACAAAATCCAAATACCACTAGACTGACCTACTGAATCAATACCTACAAAATCTACTGCTCCAAGGCCCCAGACTTCCCCCACCCCTGAAAGACTAGGGCTGGGGAGTTTGGTTTCTTACAAAATAAGAGCAATAGGTTTATATTTATTAACAATAAACTGAATGTCTTTTCTTCGTCTGAGGTCACCTAGACCTCTCACATTCCAAGAAAGCAAAAGCATTAAGGAAACTTAGGAAGGGAAGAACCTGAACCATCATCCCTGGACCCAAAATAGACCTCTTCCATCATCCAAGCCTCCTCCATCGTCTCATCAAAAGCATTCTCCATAAAAGATGATGAAGAGGGACCTCCAATTACTTTTTTGTCTCGAATAACAATACCAGCAGCAGCACCAGGTCTCTGCCCACGAGCCATCAGCCGAGTAGACGATCTAGTACCCTTCATTGGGCTCTTGCCTTTCTTTTTCTTATTTTCCACATCCTTATCGGGGGTCACCTCCCTATCGTCTCCATCACTCTTCTCCAATTCAAATTTCTTCTTCCTAGCATCAGATAATCCAGATTTTTTGGCCCTGATTTTTTCAACTATTTCTTTAAAGACCACCCTGATTGGCAGATCAAAATCCATTCCACTGTCGAGCACTATCGAGCCCAAAATGGCATCCACCTGATCACTCTGAGAATGATTATCGCAAGCCCCATTTGTAGCCATAGAGTGATCAATCTGAGTCAACAATTCAGAAGAGACCTGAGTTGCTTCCCCAGATTGCACCTTTGTCAGGTGAAGGAGCAACGGCCGGTCCTCATGAACCACAGAATGGGGGGCAACCACTTCATCTTCATCACGCTTCTTCTCTTGCACCGATAATCCTTCCTCTAATAAAGCAATCGAAGAGTTTCCCAACACCTCCTCTTCCACCATTGCAATGGGCTTCCCATCCTCATCTACCACCACCAATGCCATCGAGTTCATAATCAACGGATCAAAAGCCGGCCTTTGGCGCACACGGTTCTTCCTAGCTGCTCGTCGGTGCCACTGAGAATACATGACAACAAGAATAGCGAGCGCCACTTGAAGCGCAACCGTCGACCGAAAACGATAACTTGCGAGCAGAATGGCAAGGGCCTTAATAGAGGTTCTATCCACCTCCTTTAACCCTGCGAGCAAAAGGGCAAGGGCCTTTCTTTCCACCGCCTTCAGCTCAAGCAAAGGGAAGACATCACCAACCTTCATACATGCCTGCAAATAATCATGCAGCAACACGAGGCGACCATTCGCTGTCAACATGACTCCCACAATCTGTGCCTCAACTCCCTGCCATCGAGGAAATCCTTCCATTTAATTGCTATTACAGTGTTTTACCTCTGATGGTCCCGCACTGACCTCGCGTGGTCCATCGGCGCGATCAGTAACGCTCGACGAAGAAACCATCGGGCAATTGGCAAAACGACCAACTGGAATCCAACGCTTGCGGATTTTCAAATTTCGTAACTCCCTCTTCCCTGTTCTGAAAATCCGGGAACCATCCCGCTGCAAGTGGCCGGAATTCGCCTTGACCGGCGGAGGTCTACAACGTCGAACCACCTCCTGCCATCCATTTTTTTCCACTACATCATTAGTAACCTTCTGTAAACCAAGAAGGTTACTATTTCTGTCCTTTGTTTCTTGCACTACTGCTATAGAAAAAAATTCTTGACCCACTTGTAGAGTCAGATTCTTTGGAATGAGGGCCCCACCCAATTTCCAGATACGTATCCTAACATATCGCAAATTGACCCCATCAAAAGCCATCCTATCAATATCACAGAACTCCCCACAATTGTTGGCCAGTTTACAACGACTGAGCATGAAAGGAAATGCCTGACAACCTAATCCAAATACTTTCTTTTCACAAATAAGAGAGATGGGAATCTGGTTTCCAAAGATCAAGGACAATAACTTGTTCGAAGAAACAAGATGATTTTATTCTCCCCTATAATTTTAACTTTCTGAGCATAACACAGACTCCAACTCCTTTTAGCCCAATCAGAAAGGCCAAAAATATCAGTTGATGAGGGAGAAAAAGAACCCACCACTAAGAACTTTGCACCTGATAGACTTCGCACCTGATAGAAGTCCTCCTGACATATCATACCTGATAGTGACCATAGTAGCTCCATCTCCATCCTCAACATCTTCGTCATCACCTCCACCATACGCCTTTTTAAAAAAAAATTAAATCTTATCTTTGCTTGGACTCTTTACCTGTAAAAACCAACTTGAAAGACTAAGAAAACATAGTCAAAACCTTGCCTGATAATAAACGCTGAAATTTTTTCTGAAATTATTTTGGGGCAGCGTCATCAGCTACTGCACCGGCCGCACTTTATTTACCTTTCTTCATCTTTTCTATTCTTTGAATTCAAATACCTTATAATGTAGAACTTCGGATGCCCCTAAAAAATTCATCGGAAAAGGTAGTTTTAATGTTGAAAAACCCTTTGAAAATTCATCGGAAA